GCACATTAATACCACACATCAATTTTTGGTTTCTATATTTGAGTCCCTGAAAGGGGAATGAACAAATCAATGTTACAGGAAGAAGACAGATTAATGAGCACTCGATTGTCCATAAATGTCCTCCAGAAATTAATTAGAACATGATAATCAGGCCTGAAATGTCCTTCCAATTTGGCAGACCAATGAGATGAACACTAAAGTTAATTTCTTTTCCTTGTTCACATAAAAAGTTCATTCCGTAATACTTTTTCCTAAGTCAAATTGCCAAACTAGCCCATCTAAGAGAGTGGTTTTCATTAGATAAGAAACAAAAATAAAACATTCCATCTTCCTTTCCATGGAAAGTTATATTAGCATGTCAATTAAAATGGTGCATTGGTAATTAAACAATTACACAAATAGCTTAATACCTTGGCTTCCAGTAAAGAAAGTTTGCACCTCCTAATCAAATTTTTGCTGGTGATTAAGTATGTAAAGAGCAAAATATGTCTCTGTGTTGAAATGAACTGTGTATTTCCACAAAATAAAATAAAATAACAATATAGCATATGTATAATGATTTGTAATATTCCTTAAGTATATTAAAAATATTTGTTTACATTATGGTGCATCTGTAAAGTCATATGTCACTTTCCTTCTCAGACTTTTGAGATAAATTTAAAAGTCCTTCACATAAAGTTGATCTGACATTATGTCCTTTGCCACATCCAGGGAATGAAAGAAACCCAGCATTTAAAGTCAACAATAATTTGTAATAACACATATAATAAGTGGCAGCTCCTTCAAAAGGTTCTTTTGCTACTTGGCATTACAATTTAGCCACTGTGCTCATTCCAGGAACCAAGATGTAAAGGTAATCCTTTATGTGAAGTGTATCATTAATCCCAGAAGTGTTAAAACATAAGTCCTGGCAGGAGGCCAAGGCAACTTTGCAGCAAATGTGCCAGGCATTTTTCTTGCCATAAATTTATCTTAGCTTAGCTAGCATTAAAAGATCTGTTTTAAGTTCAATATGTCAGGTGTCCTGATTATGAGTAAAAAAACCAAGAGTCAAATCTCAAGTCCACTGACATAAAAGGAGCTTCAACAGTTCACTTAGTCCATCCCTTTACAAGTAGCAGGAACATGATTAATCAGAACAACTATTTTTAAAGTATTTTTAAAAAGAGTTACGGAGGAGGGAAAAGTTAACTAATGCTCCTTGGTCTGCTTCTATCCATAGTATAATACAGTAAAAATTCTCAATTTTTAATGTGCATATGAATCACCTGGGGACCTTTGAAAAACCAAAATCGGAATCAGTAGGTCAGGGGTGGAACCAGAGGCTCTGCATTTCCAATAAGCTCCCAGGTGATCCGGAAGCTGCTGGCTTGAAGACCATTCTTTGAGTTGTTGGTTGAAAAAAATTACACGGATGCCAACTGTTATATCATTTACCACTTCACTGTTTTGCTAATTTTTTCAAAATATACTTATTGGACACTTAAATGCACAAGGCTAAGAGGTACAAAGTTACATAACACATATTCTATGCTCCTTATTATAATTTAATTATTAACCAACAGATGGCGAAGGTAATTTTTTGAAGGTATTTTTTTAAGGAAGAACTAAAGAAAACTTTGTGCATAAGCACTTCCTTTCCAAAAGAAAAAGTCTTAGTAACTTAGCTTTGAAATTCTGAAGCCTAAAATCTCCCTTTCTTTTGATAATTGTTTTTCAAGTGTTCATTGTATGGTAGATACTATAGTTCTGCACCATATTTTGAAACTCTAGAATGTTTTCTTCCTTCTCACTAGTAACTAATCAGTTTTATCTGTAACAAGCATAATTTAGAATTCTGTTTATTTTTTAGTATATTAAGTAAAACCAAGCCATTGACTTAAAAAAGGTTGATCCATGGCTATTTACTGTTATATTATACATAGACATGTGCATGTATGTTTCGCCTCAAATATATGCCATGATAAAAAGAAATCAAGGTAAAAATAGATCAAGCATTATTTTTACTTCCCCAAGCAAATATCAAAAATTATAATACATTTCATCTACAGACAATATCTTGTGGATAAAAGCAAATATTCACAAATATCAATCACTATAATAAATCGGCACTATTTGACCAAACTATCGACATTTTTGCCCCAGTCTATTATCATGCCACCTCTGAAGTTGTGTGGGATTCAGCTGTACCAGTAGGTAGATCTAACATTTCTTTTTTTAAATAAAGCAATTTAGATATTCTAAAATATGTTGAATTCCTTCAACATATATTTACTAAAGGCCTATTATATTTAAAATATTTTAATAGATTATCCAGGAGATTAACAAGACAGAGAATGGATTCTGCTCACAATTTAGAACAATAAAATTAATAAATAATTTAAAAGTACAAAATAATTGCACTGCTGAATAGAATGGAAATTGTGTTCCTCTAACAGGCACAACTAGTGTTTTAATATGTTCAGAAGAGGAGGAAATTATTGGGGTACCAGAAAATTCTTTATGAACAGAAAACTACAATAAGTATGTTAAGGAATTCATTAGCTGGAAATGGAGGAATGGGGTATTCCAGGCAGTGGAAAAGCAAGAGCAAAAGCGCAGAGGTAGGGACACATCAGACATGTCCCAGGAATAGTGCCTTTGGGTGTCTTAGCCACAGAGAGGAGAATAGTGAATAATAAGATAAAATGGGTAGATTCTTTATGGAACATTGAGAGATCATCGATAGCAAACTAGAAAATCTGGCCTTAGTTCAATAGCTTGGAGAGTAACTACTTTTGGGAAAGAGTGTGACACCATTAAAATTTTTGTAAAGTAAAACTTAAATGCATAATGGATTGAAGGAGAAAAAATACTGGAACGAAGTAGGCGGCTAGGACCCAATCCAGATAAGAGGTGTCAGAGAACTAAAACAGGCTGTGTAATAAAAACAAGGGGATGCATGATATAAATTCTAAGATAGGTCCAAAATGACTTCATTCAATTTCATATCATTTACTCCACAGTCTTTGGAAATGCCTACATACAAAATTCTGTCCTAACCACTGACGGTACAAAGATTGATAAACTGAGAATAAAATCGAGAAGGAGGAGGAGGGAACGAGGAAACTGCTTGTTCTGTAGCCATGGTAACAAGCAGCCACCAACACAGGTTTCAATCTATTTAATTAATTAACAATTACCTGCCTACATGGTCTTGATCATGCTGACCCAAGCCAACCAGTGGCAACCGCTCTCTTCTGAAAGTCTGCCAATCAGGGATGGATTCACTCCAATGAAAAAAATTCTGAATGCAAACCAATTAACAGTTTTCTCACCTGAGTAAACAACCATGCTTCTAAAGGTGACATCAACCTACTCCCAACTCAGAATGATCTTTTGGCCTCCAGTTTCCTCCGAAACCAAAGAACATTCTACTTTGAGAGACTGGCTGACCAGCATAGTTCTCTCTTATTTAAGTAAGCAATAAATTCAGCTTTGTGTTTTCATTTCAAATATCGAGCGATGGTTTCATCATTTGATCAAATTCAAGTGATGAAATTCCCTTGTAAATTTAAACTTATTAATGGTAATTTATTATAAGAGAGTGTGATGCAGTGGAAGAATGAGCAATTCTGATTAGGAAGACCTGGATTTTAAAAAATTCTGTACCTAAATATTTATATCTGTAAAGAAATATGTTTAACATCATTTACTTCTGTTTCCCCATCTGTGAAATCTCGCCATTGTGTTGTGAAGGTCAAATGCAATAAAGTTTAGAAAAGACTGCAAATTTTATAAAACCTTGATATCGTTGCTCTATTGCAATTTTTGTCGTTTGTGTTATTAACAAAAAAACAGACCTAGTTGTAGGAGACCATTAGTACTATTAATGGGAAGCCAGAAGCAGCAGCTGGTTGGAAGGAAAGGCCATTCATCATTTACTGCATATTTACAAAGCAATTGTTGCATGCCATAGAATATGCTTAGCTTATGTTATAAGTATTCAGTGGATAAGCCACTCAGCAAATAATTAGAGCCTGTATGTTGTACTAGAAATCAAAAGAAATTTCATGACTTCGGGGTAATCCTCACTTAAGATAACTGCACCAAGGCCAACGCCTGTGACTCTGTGAGCACCGAAATATTTGTTAACAAACTAATAGAGTAGTTGAAGCCATAGAAATTGATGAAAATTGTGTAAGACAGCAACTGACTAAAAAAATAATGTTATAGATAATGATTATTACAGCATTTGAGAAGTGTGAGAATGACGGAATGTGATTTATATTTTTTATTACAAGATATTAAAATGTATAAAATGAGAGAAGTGGCTGAACCTCCAAAATAAGAACTTACAATTATATGCAAGTAATCTTTGCACTAAAACCCTACTATATAAAGGGTTCATTTCCACAAAAGTTTAAATTAATATTTTCTAATCCATTCTTTGAAGGCATTTCAGAATGAAAATGTTGAGACTCATAATACTGCTAGAATATTTTATTTTATGAACAATAACACTGATTCTGATGAGTGTTTCTATACTAATCAGAATTTTGATATTGAGGGCTATAATGGAACAAATAAATCATTTAGCGAAATTTCATAATTTTTCAAGATTAGCAGACATTTGGTCCTGTCCAAAACATCCATGGAGACATACAGTCCACACCAAAACGTCCTTGAAATTTGGCCCTATCAAAAATGTCCATGAGCATATGTGGTCCACACCAAGTGGCTCTTGATATTTGTCCCTGTCAAAGACATCCATGTGTAGAAAATATCCCTGGGTTCAAATAGCCCATAACGTTTATATATACTTTTGGTTTACAGGATTAATACATAAGAAATACTGTTACGTTTTATTGGTTCAATAATTGGTTTGTGGCCGTATTGCCAATAATAACCCTTCTTGCCTCGGCAGCCTAGCTGGTAATGGCATATGGGGTTAGGTGGATGGGTTGGGGTTTGAATCTTGCAGAAGAGCGGGATTTATGCTAACTACGAGTACTGAGAAAGAGTCCTACAGTTAGAGAAATGCACAGAGGACAACAAGTAGAGGATAGGATCTCACGATGCATAGTGCATTAATATGTCACTGGGCATTTGGTTGGATGTGACTGGGTCATTCAATAAGAATTCTCGGTCAAGCCACTGTGTAAAACAGGCGGTGACGGAACTCGTTGACATAAACACTTTACAGAGCTTCTCGCTTGTTTGGGAGGATGAGAATCAGTGTGGCTCTCCTACCACATAGTAGTTGGGTGTAATAGCTGCCATGAGGGGATACTGGGCATCTAATTAGCCCCCCTATAACTATCCCACTGCCCAGGGTTAATGGGCGATGTTTCCCTTGAACCGATGTCCTATAGAAGTACGATTGCGGTAGACTGCAAGTGCCTGCTGCTATTTGGAGAGGTTTTATTGGATGTGACTCCCATACTCACCTGCCAATCAACGTGGACCACCATGCCCTCGGCTGGTGCTTACCTACATACCGGCTGATCTAGCCCAGCCAAACCAGGTGTCAAATCCATAAGACCTTAGTAAGGTTTTCCCTACCAGTAAACCAGTGACCATTGGTCAGATGGCTACAAAATAATTTAAAAAAAAAAAAACTCTTCTGTTGCTTGGCAATGTGACATCTTTATTTTAAAATTCTCAGTGGAATATGGCAGAAACAGTATACTCATAAAAAGAAAAGCCAGTGCTACATTATAATGGTTTTTGTTTTCATTTCCATTCCTTTAACAGAGATAGAAGTAAGAGGTACTGGTGCTGTGAAGAGAGGAGGATCTGCAATGTCCAGTGTACAACTAGTCAGGATTTGGATAAAATTACAATCATTCAAGATGGGACAGGAAAACATCAGCACAATGCTGGTGTTGAAGGGGAAGTAAGGAAAATCCTGACTAGGTTAAAACAACATGCAGAAGAAGAACCAAATGCAACACCATCATAGGTACTTTGAAGAACTCTCCACGATATTCATGATGAAGAGGTCCTGTTAGTGCTACCAGAAAGAAACTCAGTAAAGAGGCAAGCAAATAGAATTCAAAACCAACTTCGACCTCCAAAGCCAACTTCATTGCATGGAATTGAAATTCCAAAGGAATATAAAGTGACCAGACTCAGAGAACCATTTCTTATGCACGATTCCGGTGCTCAAGATGACAAAAGAATCCTTATTTATACAATTTACGACAATATTCAATATTTAAGTGCCAGTACCACATCATTCAGTGGTGGCAACTTCAAGACGGCACCAACACAGTTCACTCAGTTATTTACAGTGCCCGGTGTAGTACTGAGTTATACTATGCCATTGATTTATGCACTAACAATGAAAAAGCAGGAAGACCCTTACAGATATATATATATGAGAAAGTACTTGCATTTGCACAGGAAAGAAATCTTGACATTAACCCTTAATTGTGCATGATGGATTCTGAGATTGCAAATATGAATGTAATTCAACTACTCTTACCAAATGCACAAATAAAAGGATGTTTGTTTCACTTTTTCACAATCACTGTGGTAAAAAATATCTTCTTTGGGTCTAACACATGAGTATATGACAATGAAAAGTAACACCCATAAGTGTGCATCCATGTTGCTTGGACTTCCATTTGTGCCTTTGGAAGACGTAAATGAAACTTTTGAGTACACTGTGGAGAATGCAGGAGAAAATTTAGTTGGCCTAATGGATTATGTCGAGAGAGTGTCTATCTATGGAAGGCATGGCAGAAGCAGAAGACCAGAAGCTCCAAGATTTCCAACAGAAACTTGGAACATTTATACATCAGTACTGAACGGCGATCACAGGACAAACAGTGCAGTGGCAAATTTCAAAAGCTGATCGTAGTGCATCACCCTTCGCTTTAGAGATTTATTGAAGTGTTAAAGGACGGACAGCAAAGCAATGAGCAAGTTATTACCCAGGTCCTTGGTGGTCACACTCAAATACAGCCACCAACTTCACGAAGGTATTGACAAGATCAAATTTATATAACTGAAATTGCTAACAGATTTAACAAATATAAATCCAATAATCAGGTCAATATATACTTGAGAGCAATTGCTTATCAACTTAAGAGTAACCCTGATGACGAGGAAAAAGCAAGAACAAATATGAAATCCTAAATTCATCATGAATTACAATAAAAATAACATAAATAAAATTTTAACAAAGTTAAATGTTTGTATTATTTAATGAATCATGAGCCAAATGTCTCCATGGATGTTTTGGACAGGACCAAACATCCTGCAAGGTTTTTCAAAAGAGGAAATGGAAGCCCACTGTGGTTTGACAGCAAACTCAAGAGTTAGTCAGAATCAGAATTAGAACCCAGTTAGTGCATCATACTTCTCAGTACCTTATCTTCATTCCTTCAGAGAATGCTATCTTAGTGCATTTGAAAATCAAGTATCTCAGTCATTATCTAAATGATGACCCCATGATCCATGTGGTTCCATTACCAAACATTATCTATATTCTCCACAGTAGTAGTGATTTCTATTTCTAATAAGGGAGGTATAACAAGAATAAACATACATTAAAATGCAACTTTAGCAGCAAAGAAATGCAAATTAAAAAAAGATATAGGTTTTTAACTATATTCCTTTGCCTATCAAATTATCAAAGAATTGCAAAAGAACAACAATTAACGTTGCAGAGGCTTTAATGATTTGGCCAAACTCCTACTTTTCTGGAAGAGTATCAGGTGGTTCCAACTTTATGAAAAATATTTTGGCAATGTCTACTAAAACCTTGAAAACAATCATATTCGATGACCCAATAATTTTCCTTCTAGGACTGCACCACGAGGAAATAATCAGAAATTTAAATGAAGATTTATGTAAACTTGATGTGAATTTCAGCACTATTTACAATACAAAAAAGAAATATTCATCATACACAAAAGAAAAAAATTCAGACCATTCCAAATGGCCTAATAGAGAATTAGAAATGATCGAATATATAATTGTATATGAATATTACAAAGCCATTCAAAATGTTGCTTTTGAAGAATATTTGATAATATATGAAACTAAATTCTTTATAGTGTAACATCAAAAGAGCAGGATGTGTAATTTATATAGAATATAATAATAACAATTTTATGGAAAAGACTAGGGAATATACTTCAAGACATTAGCGAAATGGGTACACTGGTGGGATTGAAAATAATTTTCTTTTTCTCCATCTGATCTATATTTTATGCACTCTCTATTCAGCACTCACTAACTTCATAATTAGATAGTATATTCTATATTATAATAAAAGTATCTGTAAAAATCAAAAAGAAACCATAAAAGCGAAGTTGCACAAAGTTTTCTTCCAGTATGCCCTCACCCCAAAGAAGTCAGTGCGAATGAGTTTGTTAGGAAACTGGAGCCTTCAACACAACTCTTCTTATCCTGGGCAATCAACCTCCAGAAACCCTGATTAGCCAGCTGCCAGGCACATCCTTGAAACGCCTCTGGGAAATCTAAACAGGAGGCTCCACCGTCTAAACCTCAGGGCAGTTTTCTGCCAGGAGAAAGGCAGGAATTGAAATACTGGATTATAATGCATATCATGTGTAATCAGAAAGAAGCAGGATTTCAAAGCTAGATGCATAAATGTGCACTCACAAAGTTTGATCAGACTTTTAAGAGTTTTATAAAAAAATAAAAAAGCAATTCATTTAGAAACCATGATCAGAATAAACCTGGATCATTTACCACAGAATTTGTATTGGGAACAAAACAATAAAAATAAATAAATTCACCATTTGTAAGGAAAAGGGAACGGGTGAACTGGGAAGAAGAAACTTACGGTCATAAATGAGACATGGTCAGATAGCTCTAAATATGAAAATGTGAACTCATATGTAGACACAATCAAAAACCCATGTGTGCTAAAATAATCAAATACACAGATGTGAAATTCTAAAGAACTTACTGCTGGAAGCAAACTGGGTTATCATTTGAGGTTTACAAATGAAGAGATTATGTTATAATGTCATCTAATCTCTGAGCACTAGAGTTTGTAAATTGTAGGCAATAGTATAGCAATAAACTATTAAAGCATTAGATTATTTTCAATTTTAATATTTTTCATCTAGCACTACATTCTACATACATGTATTGTCCATGTATAAGTCACTATACACACTGGATATACAGCATTCTAATAAGAAAATAACTTGTACAGTTCCCCTCAACTTAAATTCTTTAACATTTACAAGACATGTTCTGCCTTTACTGAATTAAGTACTCCTTAAATCAAACCATTTCAGAATTTTAGCATTTCACTCACTGATCCAAGTTGCTTTTATCATCTACTAACAATGCTTTTCATTAAAGGATTATAAAATATAGTAATGAAAATAATTTGCATTGATGAAGATGATTCAGTTTCACAATAAAATTAATGATAAAAAGCTATGGCTTTTATTTACACATGAGAAACACTAAACAATTTTATCTTTTAAACATCGCATCAATCCTTTCAATAGGCTTATGGTTTAGCTAGCAGGAAACTATGACTATCATCTTGGTACAAGTAGAAAACAGTGTTCAAAACACACAAGACCTACCTAGGGCCTAATAAGGAAAAACAAAACAATCAGGTGCTTACGGGAGACTTCAGATGCACTGAAAACTAGCTCAGCTTTCTGACCATTAACAGAACAATGCTAATGCAAATAAACATCACCTATTCAATCCAATAAATAATGGTAGCTGGAGGTGATGCTATCGATTCTGAAAAGTACTGGATTGACAATATGAGACACTGAAAAATACATTTAACAAAGATTTATTGAGTTACTACTTTGTGCCAGGCTATATTCTAGTCTTCGATGATACAGTGGTAAATAAATGAGCCCAGAGACTTGTTTTCTTGGAACTTTGATTCTAATGGGGAAACAAAATTACAACTAAATGATTTCAAAATCCTCAATTTACCACTTGCCAATTTATCCCTATAACCTGGTCCTTCTTGCTTCATTGTATTAAAAAATTGCTTTCCACAAATGCACTATCTTTGCTGAGCTTTTGGGGGGGGGAATTAAATAGGAGTGGGTATTCTGTAGTGTTAATGCCAA